TTCCCTTTGTATTTTACTTCAATATATGCTCCATTCCCAACTTTGACTTCATAAATGATAGTTCTATCAAACTCTTTGAAGAGTTTATGGTCATATGTCATGTGGTTTGTACAACCACTATCTATCAACTAAGTTTCTACGGAGCTACTATTTGCAAAGCATGATGCCACAAAAAGCTACTCCTCTTCTAGTTGATCAACAACAACCTTAGCTTCTCTTTGTTCTGTTGAGACTTGCATATCATCTCCATTTGACCAATATAACCACATTTTCCGTATTGAACATCCGGTCTCCACCAATCAATATATATATATATATATATATATTGTGGATGCTTGGTCTTTTTATAGTATGGGCATAATGCAAAAACTTCAGTTTTATTACTGTTACTTGAACTTGATCTAAGCTTATTGTTGTAGTTTTACTTCTTTTTTATACTTGCCACCATTATTGTTCTCCGATCTAGCTTGGAAAACACCTTCTATAGGTCTTTATTGCCTCATAAGCCTTATTTGTTCCTGTGCTTACAATGCATTTATGAGTTCTACAAAAGAAATACTTGACAAATCTTTTTATTCTTCTAAGAGGAAATTGTAGCCTAATACTTCTCTAATAATATAACTAGAATCTTTTGAACTATCCTTTCATAAAAAAAAAAAAGAAAAAAATTTCCAAGTATTCTCACCTTATTTACTATGTCTGAACGGCTCTGTCGAATAGTCTTTAATTGATTCGACTCCTTCATTTTTTATGTTTCAAATTTTCTAATCAAATTCAACACCTTCATGGTCTTTGTCCTCTCATTTTCCCGGTACTCCTTCTTGAGATAATCCTAGATATCCTTTGCAAGTTCTAGGTTCATAATTTTGGTGAAAATGGTATTTGATACAACAAAGAATAGGCAAGCCTTGGCCTTGGATTTTCTAGTTTTCTTTTTTCTCCTTGTGATTCTTAAGTTAAGCCATGGTTGGATTGGCTGGCAATGCGGGAATATCATAATTATCCTTTATCGCCACCCAAAGATCCAAAGTTTCAAGATGAATTGTCATTCAAACGACCTCAAGTTTGATAATTTTCACCAACAAAGATTGATGGTAAAGCTGATGTGAATGGTGCTTCGATTCCATGAATTTGTCTATAGGATTTTTTTGTTTTAGTTGGCTTGGAATATATTTTTAAAGCTCACTCAATCTCACACACGTCCCTCAAGATAAAGCTTTGATACCAATTATTGGTTTTTTTTTTTTTTGACAAAATGTAGTAACAAGAACAATATGGTTTTTTAGAGTAAAATTCTTTACTCATGTTTTTAATTAAAGTATCATTTTAAATACATAAACTTTCAACTAAACAAACAACTCCTAAATTCTAAAAAGATGGGATATAACTAACATAAGATGACTAACACTATCTCCACTATCTCGTCTTTAGGAACAAGGATGAACATGGAGCATGACTAATAGACTTGACTAACAACTCCCGAGTCATTACATTCAACAATAACACACTAACAAAATTTGACACAATTTTTCATTGTTATATGCAATTAGCGACGAATTAGAGACAATATGAATTTCATCGCTAATACGATCATTGTTATTTCCTTAGCGATTGACATGTTTGTTCCGTAACTTATTAGCGATGAATTTTCCATCGCTAATTTATTGAATTTTTGTTGCTAAATCGATCAATCATTAGTAAGTTCTTATATTTGTTGCCATTCTGTCACTATTTCTACTTATATCTATGACTATTTAAAGATAGAATGGTTATCGCTAAATGATAGTCGCCAAAATCCTCATAATTCGTCGCTAAATTTGTCACTATTTAGTGATTGTATATGTTTTCATCGCTAAATATTCTCACTAATTCGATTGCTAAATGAAGGAATTTTTAGTTTTTTTTTAATTAATAACCATATATTGTTAATTGTAATAACAAACACCTATTCACAACTCCTTATTAAAATACAATACATTATTTAATAAAATTAAAATAGTACAAATTGAAATAAAATAAATATATAAATGTGTTAAGGTATTTGAACTATTCTTTCATAAAAAAAAAATCTTTACCAAGTATTCTTACCTTATTTACTATGTTGAGCAACATGTCATAATAGTCTTTAATTGATTCGACTCCTTCATTTTTTGTATTTTAAATTCTCTAATCAAATTCAACACCTTCATGTTTTTTGTCCTCTCATTTTCCTAGTACTCCTTCTTGAGATAATCCTAGATATCCTTTGCGGGTTCTAGATTCATAACTTTGGTGAAAATGGTATTTGATACAACAAAGAATAGGTAAGCCTTGGCCTTGGATTTTTTAGTTTTTCTCTCCTTATGATTCTTAAGTTGAGCCATGGGTGGATTGGTTGGCAATACGGGAACATCATAAATATCCTCTATCGCCTCCCAAAGATCCAAGCTTTCAAAATGAATTGTCATTCAAGCTCGCCTAAGTTTGATAATTTTCACCATCAAAGATTCGTTGGTGAAGCCGATGTGAATGATGCTTCGATTTCATGAAGTTGTCTATAGGATTTTGTGTTTTAGTTGGCTTGGAATATATGTTTAAGGCTCACTCAATCTCACGGGTGCCTCAAGATAAAGCTTTGATACCAATTATTGATTTTTTGGTTTTTGACGAAACAGAATGCGATAACAAGAACAATATGGTTTTTTAGAATAAAATTATTTACTACATGTTTTTAATTAAAATACCATTTTAAATACATAAACTTCCAACTAAACAAACAACTCTTAATTCTAGAAAGATGAGATATAACTAACATAAGCATGACTAGCGAGTATCGGCACTATCTCATCTTTAGGAACAAGGATGAACATGGAGCATGACTAACATACTTGACTAACGGCTCCTAAGTCATCACATTCAACAATAACACATTACTAAAAATTTAGAACATTTTTCTATCGCTATATACAATTAGCGACGGATTAGAGACGATACGAATTCCATCGCTAATGTGATCATTGTATTTCCTCAACGATCGAAATGTTTTTTCTATAATTGATTAGTGATGAGTTTTTTATAGCTAATTTATTGAATTTTCATTGCTAAATTGATCAGTCATTTGTAAGGTCTTATATTTGTTGCCATTCCGTAACTATTTCTACTTATAACTGTTGCTATTTAGAGACGAAATGGTTATTGCTAAATGATGGTCCTTGTAATTTTGTCGCTAAATCGTCGCTATTTAGCGACCATATATGTTTTTGTCGCTAAATATCCTAACTAATTCGATCGCTAAACAAAGAAATTTCTATTTTTTAAAATTAATAATCATACATTGTTAATTGTAATAACAAACAAATATATACAACACCTTATTAAAATATGATATATTATTTAATAAAATTAAAATAGTATAAATTGAAATAAAATAAATATATAAATGTGTTAAGATTTATGAAAACATTAAAAACATGAAAAAATATATATATATACTCCTCCTCAACAACATTTTCTCGCATCATCTTCCGACTACTTAGTGTTGAGAGAAATGGTTGGCTCCTAGGTTAAATAAATAAATCAAATTAAAATAATTAATTCTAATTCTAACCAAATTAAATTTAAACTAACAATTAATTAAGAATGTGTAACATAAATAAAATTAAAATTCAACCAATGAAACAAAATTAACCTAATTAATTAATTAAATATAAATCAAATTAACTTAATTAATTCTAATTATAACCAAATTAAATTTAAAAGAAGAATTAATTAACAATTTCTAATATAAATAAAATTAAAATTCAACTAATTAAATATAATTAAGCCAATTAATTAATTAAACATAAATCAAATTAATTTAATTAAGTTTAAAATAACAATGAATACCAAGTTCTAATATAAATAAAATTAAAACTCAACCAACTAAACAAAATTAATCTAATCTAATTAATTAAGTTTAAAATAACAATTAACTACCTAGTTCTAATATAAATCAAAATCAAAATTCAACCAATTAAACAAAATTAACCTAATTTATTAATTAAACATTTATCAAATTAACTTAATTAATTCTAATTCTAATCAAATTAATTAAATTTAAAATAAAAATTAATTAACAATTTCTAATATAAATAAAATTAAAATGCAACCAATTAAACATAATTAACCTAATTAATTAACTAAACATAAATAAAATTAGCTTAATTAATTAAAATTCAATTCTAATTAAAGTTAAATAACAATTAACTAATAAATTTACCTAACAATTAAAAAAATTTAATAAATTAACCTAACAATTTACAAAAATTAACAATTTAACAAATAAATCAACAAAATGACAATTAAATATATGCAAAATTATAAATTAAGTAATTAAACTTAAAATTAGCCTAATATTACAACAAATTACTAACTTTAATTAAGATAATAAATGATAGAAAAAACTTATCTAATTCAGATGGAATTACATCAAGAGGAGGGAAAGAAAAAACGAAAGTTTTTTTGAGAGAAAAGAGCTTGAAGTAAGTGACGATTGATTGAGAGTGGAGTTTAGTGGTAGTTTTGAATGGGGGAGACCAGTGGTTGGTTGGAGAAGGAGAGGAAGAAGAAAATGGAAGAAAAATAAGAAGAAAGAGGTTTAATTAGGAATTGAAAAATAGCTACGGACACGATATCATTGTTGATTACTGACAGATTTATTTGTCATTAATTTGCCAACAATATTTATTTTAACGACAGAATATCTATTGCTACATTCAGACATTAAAAATAACAATGAATTAGCAATTCTATTGCTATTTTTCATTGCAAATCACCTATTAGAATTGATAATACATCACTTCTACGTTTGGATTGCAATTATGTGTGAGGTGGAATCCTCATTTCTCTATTTCACCCTTGCAAGATAAATACGAATAGATTAACCTCAGTTCGAAAATATTTTTATTTTGGGCAAATTTTTGTGTTTTTATTTTCTCTTCATTTTCTTTTATTTCTTTTTTGCTTTTACGGCTTGGTGATATATGCCTGAGGTTTGAACGTCTCTGATGGCCAAGGAGGAAGAATAACCCCTTTAACCATCAGGTCAACCCTCTCACTCTTCTCTCTCTCTCTCTCTCTCTCTCTCTCTCTCTCGTTTTATCTCTATTGGCATCAATAATTATACATTTGGCATGTATTTTCCCAGCGAACAGCTATAAACGTTGTAAAGCCGCTAACTGTCGAGACAATTGCTGAGAAGCGTGACGTCACAAAATTTTTCTCAAATACTTTCTGTAGTGCATATATGGGATGTTCAGTTGGACCGAACACCTTCTACTGTGTGGAAATTATATTTGAAGCTGTGAACCGGAAGTTTATATCCGAAGGCCTTGCATCAGATCAAATGCCAGAATTTCAAGTGTTCTTTAACGATCTTGTGTTCAATGATTTCAACACTCTTTTCAGGTCTCTCCCTCCTGAAAGACAATAATTTTCAGCCAGTTTGCTGGGGTATGTTTATAGCCAGTTACTCCCAGAATTCTCCCTCCATTTTGTTCATTCATCATATTTACAACAGTGGCTCTCTCAGGTGCCGGAAGAGTTACAGTACAAGGAATCTCCTGCATGGAACAAAGGGAGAATTCATTACACTAATGCCCCAGGAAGAGTAGTCAGCGCTTTTGCACCTCAATTTGCTAAAGGAATGGGGATGTTTTTCGAGGCTAGAGCTAAAGAGCTTGTGGAAGGGGGCATGGTGGTGCTTATTATGTCATCTATCCCTGATGGGAATCCTGATCCTGTGTTCCAACGGGCATAATATACCATTTTCAAGGGTCCTGCCTCGTGGATATGGCAAGAAAGGTAAGCCGGATGTCCACTCTAGAGTTCATAATGACTCAAAGTAGATGTGTAACACTTGTAACCATCAAAACAAATCGAAAACTTGGATTAATCAAAACTTTTTTGCTAACATCAAACAATGCCAACAGTATAAGGTATAGCAATAATTTTGAGAAAATAGCAATTCATGGGGAAAAATCATACTAAATGACAGAGCTCGATGTTTTAGCACTGAGAGGATGGTGTCAGCAGATTGCCAGTGTGCAAACATATTGGAGATGAGATTATCAACGAATTGTTTGATCGTCTTTGTGCAAATATTAATGAGTTGATCCACTTGCTAGCATCAATCCATGCTCAAGGCACTCAATTAACTGTCATTCGGAAACGCTGATGCAACATTTAGAAGCTGAAATATAAACTAAAATTGTGCCTCAAGTTTAGTGTCCCACAGAAATTTGTAAATGAATTTGCGATTTTCATAGATGTACCAAAAACATATATTTTCTTCACTAGTGGTGATAATTTGAAAGATGAAAATATCAGCATCTAAAGATACAATTCTCTCCTTGATGGGAAAAAAAGATCGATGATCTGATTGTGCATATTCTGTGCATGATCAAATGAGAGATTTATCTTCAAGTGGCTGGAGAATTGAGAGAGAACTATCTCTGTTCCAAAGCTAGGACACTGCAGACTAGAGCAAACGCTTATTAACATATTTAGGTCACACAATATACACATATAGCAACACTCATCACATCCATGACCTACCAAAGTTTTCACCTTATAATATAGCAAACTAGGTGCAAATCTCACTCAGTCATCCTATGAACATGTACATATATAGTCCAGTCATTAAGCTGAACACACAAGCTGGACATTTCCTTCACCTGTTCCAATCAGTCTTCTTAACTCAAATGTAGTCCGCAACTGAATTGGTGTTCCAGAGATGACAATAAGGACCTTCTAATGCTTGCTTTGTCCTTCTTGATCTGGATCAGCTTATCATAAACACACCATGGAAAACTAAGATAATGGTCTCGATTCATTCCCTCATTGTAGCAACCGAAATAACTATAATGATAAGTGACATGGTACCAGGCTGAGGCTTTTGCATATACATCATCAGCTTGAGAATCTAGGCTGCTTCCCTTTTCATTGAACCAGGACCGGGCCTCTTTTCTCAAGGATCTTACTGCCATTCCAATTGCCTCTGCATCCCTTCTCCTGGTGAAAGATTTTGACATTTTCATAATACTACCACTAAGAAGTTCTGCCTCAGTTCTGATGCCATAATAGTCCATTAGATTGCCCAGCTTGTAATCATAATTGCTTTTGTAATAAAAAGCATCATCTATGTAATCCTCAAAGCCATCAACTTCCATATCAGGGTCATAACACCGCCTGGCGACCTCCAAAGTAAATGACGTAATAGAACTTGTATGTGGTGCAATGTCTTTCACTTCTCGGAAAAGCTTTCCAATCACATTGTATGACTCATAGGTGGGTTTGTCAGGCTTTTCCATGAAGTCAGGATATTCTTTTACACGTAGATGAGGAGGTATTTCAGCTGGTACTCCAGTCTTTGGAAAGTCAACCGCAATCGAAAATTTACGTGCAAGCTCTATACATGGGTCACTCATTGCTTTGAGGAATTCCTTATCAGCAAAGGCAGTGTGAGCATTTGCAATTATTCCCAAGCTGTCATTAACTATGTAGTTTGTGAAATACTCCTCAACTTCCTGTTCCAACAAAATGTAGATCTCTAAGCAAAAGAGAAACATAACTGTCTAGCAGCAGCATAAGAAAATTCCAGTGGAAAGCGGAAAAGCAGGACAGTTGTGCACCTCAACAACTCATAATTCTAAAGGATTTCCGAGAGTGATGTGTCTTTATCTTTTATTGGTCAAATGCAATATAAAGCGGGCTGTGAAATTGCTAGCAATACGCTATCCTTGCAACTACTGGATTAAATTACACTTGCGTTCTTTTACCATTCTCCTCCTCTCTAAACAGGTAGAAGTTTGGTGTAGTTTTCCTTAAAATCAAATCAAATTAAGGTACAAAATAAGCATACTAAAATACCCACACAGAGTGTTCCTAAAATGGGCCAGAGGAACTGGGAAAAAAAAAAAAAAGAATAAAAAGAAGAGATTAGATAACAAATGCCAAATCGACCTGGTCAAAATTTTGTTGGTGGCTTTCCTCTGATCCGGAAAACAGTTTAATCAGCAGCTGCCCTTGTACTTTTCTCTTGTTTCTCAGGTAAATTGTTTCAACCATTACATCGTGCAAAGGAAAGAGAAGCTCACGTCTCTATTTATTTGCTTATATTATAAACCCACAAGTGCAATATATACAGGACAATTGAGAGAATACATCAATATGCAACTTTTCCAATCTGAGGAACATAATTTGACACGGAGTAGTGAGTAATTTTTATACCATTAGTCTCTATACACTTCACTAGACATGACAAAACCTTGACATATTTTGAGAAAAAGAACATACAGAGTTTGAAGAGTGATAGGGGACTCAAAAAACTGGGCTTTGGGGTATACTCCACGTAAAATGTACTGCTGAAAGGATGGGATTGGGAATCCTATCATGTTCCTTTTTTTTTTTTTCATGTTTGGTCATGTTTCCTAAAGTTAAAAATGAATGGGCATGATTTTGGTGTATGTCAAAATTTAAAAATGGCAACTTAACTACTTGTTTCTCTCGCCTAATCTAAATCACGCAAAGCAAAATTCACTATAGTATATGTAGCATGATCAGTCATGTTTCCTTCCAAACATAAGAGAATCCAAATCCAAAAGGATGTATTGCAGCTCACAAATTAAGGGCTTAGAAATCTTAAAAGGAAAAAAAAAAAAAAAAAGGCTATTCAATACCTCAAAAGCATATTGATGTTTAGTCCATATAAAAAATACCTGGATAGTAACATCATGATCCAACTGCACAGTGGGCTCTGGTGTATAGTCCATAGGTGGGATTTGCTGAGGCGGAATCAACTCCCGATCCCAACAGACAAAATAGATATCTCCATCCAAATCACTTCCAGAGCATTCATTTGGGTGAGGTCTAGGATTATAATTCAGACATTTATGTCAATAGAAATTTCTACACATAAAAGCTTTTGGAAAGATTTATCAGATAGCACAATTAGTCTATATGCTATGCATAGGCGTAATTTTCCTGTGAATTTACGACATAACTAGCATATTACAAAAGGGTAGCCCTTCGGGTAGCTGTCTTGCAAAATAGCTGAATAGTTGCAACACACAGTTAGAACTTATAAAGACAGATGCTCTATGAAATAGACAGAAAGAAGTAGTGATTGCAGTGATTAAGAATGTTATTAAAGCCAGTTAGCAAAGAAGAATTCACGAGAGAGACTAACACTCCCAGCACACACATAAATACTGCAGAGGAAGAAAGTACAAACTTTTCCAGTGTGTGTTTGTGTGAGTGCTCACTAATACATGCACCTGTGTTTATATTATCCCTCAAGCCAGAATCTGCAATGATGCAGACAAATTTTGGATTGGTGCTTTACCAGTAAATTTACGGTCTTAAGAGGTATAAAATTAGTGAAAGCTGCAAGTATGCAACAACTCAAACTAGAATGACATCTTCCCAAAAAGTGATCTGGGGTATATTGTTGCAAAGAGAGACAGGAAGCAGGATTTACCTTGGCCCTTTCTGCGGAAAAACAACACAATCTACCATATGGTACAAAGCTGGCACATCCACTGCACTTAAAACACGCACATCACCTGGATGTAAGCAAGGGTTTTTAGCCACCACAACATTTCCCTCGATCAGATAACACTGTTTTGGTCCCCTGTCACTGAACATGCCAGAACTATCATACAACTGCCGACATCTAGAGCCAGAAAATTGCACAAATACCTGCCCATATTCCAAGGTTCTAGTTTCATCTAGGCATCCCATCATTGATCTTCCATTTGGAAGAAAAATCCTTGTTTTAGTCCGTAATTCCAGCAACTTTGATGCCCGGAATGTTTGGAGCATCATCGAAAGGAATGGTTCAGCATCAGGCTGATAACCACACAAAAGCATTTCCTTTAGAATGTTGGTATTTTCTCCTGGAGACATCAACTCCAGGGCCTCCTGTGCCCTTAATGGATCTGTCAAGATAGCATCAAGTTGATCTACAGCTTCTCTCTGCTTTTTCTCAAAACTATGATCCGGAACTCCAAGAGTAGAAAGAAGAGTGATGAGCTGGCGATTGAGAAAACAAGGCTGATATTTGCTATGTGCCAAAACATCCAGTTTTGTGTTTTCAGATTCATATTTGCACATACTCTTCCTCAATGATAATTTTTTTGATGAAGTTGGATCAACTGCCACTACACCTTTGAAACCAGCATATCGAATCTGAAATGCAGACGGAGTGAAGCCTTTGCAGCCACATTTTATGGCCACTTTCCTCGCAAATTCGGCAGATATTTTCCCAATACCATCAGAAAACAAATAATTGGTTCCTCCCCTTGCAACCTCTATATCTTGAATACTTTCAATTTCATTCCTGCTAACACTAAGAGTTTCAGTGGATGAACCAAAGGATTGACCCAGTCTGGCGGCATACTTAGCCACATTTCTAATCTGACGAAAATTGCCCATCCATTCCCTTATATCAGCAGCAGTGAGCCCATACCTTGAAGCAAACATCCAGCAAGAATTTTCCCGCAACTGACTGGATGAAAAGGCAAGGAACTCAAACTTCTTATCACCAATAATTATCCCATTTTGCAGAGTGGAAAGAATCCTGTTGTATATTGCAGTTCTCCTATGCTCATTTCTAGAAGATGTTCGTGGAGATACATCAGTTGAGTGAATTTTCTCCAACTCCTCGTCAACAAAAGAAACACGAAGAAAGTTCTCGATGTCTTCTGGATATCTACGCAGTACACGATTGGAGACATTAACCTCTGGACCACAAAAATACACTTTACAAGGAGTTATTTGAACCCTGCGCACATATACCAAACCAGCATCTAAGGATAAAGCAGGTGATCTTGGAGGTTTCCCAGAGGTAAGATATTTTCTGTATTGCTCATTGAGCCACTTAGAAGGTTCATAACAACATTCTTTCAGGTGATATAGCTTCTCAAGAGCATGCTCTATGCAATGGAGGGGCATTCTATTAGGATCAACCAACCTGTAAAAACCATCATCAAGTGTCGACCCTGCAAGGCACCCATACTGAACCAACAAATTGACCCTAAATAAGATGTTATACGGCAAATCAACACCTGAGGAAGGGCCAACAATGGGAACTAGATCCGGATTACGAGAAAAAGTCGAACCACTCTCCAAAACAAATTTTCCTTCAGTTTCCCTGTAGTCACCGAAGTTTTCATGGAAATTTGGAAGTCGAAGACGATTAGGAAGTTCCAAACATAATGAAGAAGAATGCCCAATACAGAAGGATGGAGTGAAATCAATTGCCCTGACCCATTGGTCATCAGGAATATCCTTAAAATAGTTGAACATTGGATCCTCGAATACATTTGATGAAGAGGGTACATCTCTCTCAAAAATCCGAGGGGCACCATATAACTGAAGGTTGGAAAGAAACAAAAAAGTATGAGCATTTCTTTGTCAAATTTCATGTACGAACATAATGAGGAAATTAATTGTACAGCAACAAATAAAAGGACCTAATCTACTAGTTGCAATTTTAAGCATCAACAAGACAGCTCAAATCTTCACAGCATTGAACCATTGACGCTCCATATATATTCTCGCAAGCAACAGGCATGTTACAGCATAAACTGTTCAATTAACACATGCATCACATCCAGCCAACTAATAGTTTTTCTTTAAGAAACTTTAACAACACATCTAGCTCAACTAAACTAAACCACATTGCCAAAACAAATTGGGGTCAGCACCTCAGCTGAAAATTTAACCCAGATAAAACAATTCCAAATCCCATGAAACAAAAATCTTCCAAATGTAATAATAATAGAGACACAATACATCAAGAGCATTTACTTTTTTTTTTTTTTTTGCCTAAAAGGATTTGCAACCAATGTACACAAGATCGACCAAAGCAAAACAACATGAGACATAAATACTAGAAAAGCTAGATGCCAAAGTGAAAAATATCTACCAACTCAAATTAAGGACCACATAACTTAAATGGAGTAGAAACCATCAGCAAGGAATAAGAGAAGGGATAATCTGACTCTGCTGTCAAACGCTTTATCTTCCCAAATGCACAATAAATCCTCTCTAACCATACCTTACACCCCATGAATAATGGTGCCTCTCCACATGCTAATAAGTATAATTCTTTAAGAACGTATGCTCAATATTTTCAGAAATCTAACAAATTGAACAGGATTATCTATTCAGCAGCTTAATTTGGTCATCCTGTTCCAACAAAATAAATCAAGAACCAGAGAGAATAGGGATTTCACCCTTCATCAATAAGTGAAAAAGTAAAACTTGTTATAGAACAAGAGGGAGCCAATGGGTAGCCCACCCAACAGAAAAGGCTCAGTAGGACAAAACAATATATAGATTGATTAAAAAAAAAAATGAGATGATAACTTCCAATTCACACAACTCATGTAATGAAGGTATATATGTTGACGCAAAACCAACTTTGGCTAGCTGCAAGAATGTTAACAGAAAATAGCAACATATTTCAACAATAACAAATGAGTCTTAAAACAACCTGAATTAGAAGGTATTTCACATTTTGACCACGTGGACGATGTAGTTCAATTTGCCAAATGTTCTCATAGAGAAGGTCAAGCTTGTATTCCACTTCACGATGCATCACGGAAAAATGTAACTTTCTCATGTTCAATCCAAAATTCACAGAAACATCTGTCCCTCTCCAGAGAACAGAAAACTTTTCTTTAGAAGTCTGACAGCCAAAATGAAGTGTTACACTTTCCATAGTGTGCGAAAAGGTTCTGGGCTTTGGTATGATATCACGAACCATGCATCGAGCATCAAGATCCGAAGTATCATAGCATAGGCTTTGAATAGTCAAGGAAATAATCCCATCAGCAGCTCTTGTGGTTGTGAATTGAACAATAGCATATTTTCTTGGAAATCTCCCTTTCGTTTCCCTGATCTTAAGGGCATCAATAGTTGCTTTACCAGTATATGATTCCAAAAACTCGTGCACTGCTCTTGCAGTCACATTAGAAGGGAATCCAGAAACCTGAACTGTCTTACCCATCCAAGTAATTGTGCAGTCTACCTAAAAAAAAAAAAAAAAAAAGAAGGGACAAGTTTTAGATTTGTAGGAGAAGGTTCTTCTTCACAGTAACAGCAAACAAAGATTCAATACGTCCTTTTATTATAGGCAAAATCATGCAGCTACAAACAAAATTTAGTCCAAGACATCTGAAATGTTACTAGACACCATTAGAAGATATGTCAAAAATCCAAACCAAACCCACGTACTTCAGAATATGGGCCTGTAATTACCAATGAATTCTGAAAGTGACATCATTTCTCGATACCTTAAACCCTCAGGAAGCGAGAAAGGCAAGCAAAAATAACATTTCCTTTTCCAAAACCAAGAAAGATACATGTTCCATAAGGGAATATAACGATTATCCACTGAATTAAGTAAGAAAAAATAAAACTTTCTTTCAACTTCATTCATCATAAGGAATTTACTGTCCAAAAGCTATATATTATCATCCTTGTCAGATAACCCTCACTCCCTTATCATTATGGCAATGCCAATTCCACACAACTCACACAGAATCTTAATCAAGCACTGAAACACTGTCCATTCAAACTCTCTCTCCTTATACAAGTTGTGACCTTCTTGTTGATAACAAGAAGAGCCAAGGATAACAAAAAAAAGCAAAGAATATATCCACCAAAATTTCCAGATCTCACATATTCAGACAAGGAAAAGAAAAACGACGATACCATAAGTAAAATCTATCAAAAGGAAGATGATCAGCATGGAGAAAACAAACAATAATGTAGAAGTAAAATAACAAAACTCAGACATACAGATCTTAAGTTTTACAACAATCATCATGCAATAACTCACTCATTTATACACCATCTTAAAAAGACCCAAGCAAACAGTAATCAGAGAATCAAACAAATAAAAAACACTCCCACTAAGATAGATAGAGAGACTCACTAGAGAGAGTAGGAAGAACTTAGCATCAAAAAAGAAAATCTCGACGAAAGAGCTTCACTCAATGGTGGGCATTAAAGAAACGCAAAGGGAACAGAGTGAGTGAGAAGTCAGGTCTGTTTCTCTTTGATCAGTCAATGTTAAGTCAATTCCTTTTTTAAAAAAACCACGCAATCTAACGCAAGCAGGCATTGCCTAACGTTGTACTTGACAGCATTTTTAAGTGAAGTGAATCAAATTTATTTAATGATTATGCAATAAAGCAGCAATACCCCATTGCTAGCCCTAGAGTCCTGTGGGCCTCCCAACGAACCAAGAAAAAAAAAATACACAAAGCCATTTCCTTGTTAAAATACTAATGGAGTTAATGGTGCATTCCATCCCTATACTCTTCATTTTATATTAATTTGATACCTTTTCTATTTTTGTCATATTCTCCCCTCATTGTTGTATCTTGAGGTTTGCTCTATGACTTCTATCATATATGGTGTCAAAACAATTAAGTGTCCAAATTAAGCCATATGCTCTATAAAATAAATTTTGACTTTAAAATTCATTGCTACTAAAGCACCCAAAAAATAATCATATAGAAACTAAAAATAAAAACTTAAGGTTATGTTTGGTTCATTGAAAAAATAAATAAAATAAAGTAGACATAAAACTACCATTTTAATTTTTTTTTCTAATCTCTTTCCATATGAAAACGATGATGACGATCAAGTCTACATCACGTGAAAGAAATCTAAGCTCAACATAATAACAATAATTATCATAATAATAATAATAGTGCTAAAGGTTGATACCACTCAATGAATTTAAGAAAAAAAAATTGACTTCAATATGATTTTATAAAATTATTTTAATTTAATATGTGATTTTTTTAGGTACTTGCTATGTGATCATGATAATAACCGTAAGTTATTAGAAAATATAAATATATAAGTAAATGTATATTTAATAAAAATTATGACATGTTAAAGAAGGTTATTACAAGATTTTTAGTTGTGGATGGACATAGAAAGAAAGCTAGGGTTTTTTTTTAGTACACTAATATATTTTTAGTGGAATATTTTCCGTGCATTTTTAATATTTATAGTAAATATGACACTTTCTAATACATTTATTGCCGGTTTTGACATCTTTTTTATTAGAGTCGATATAAGGATGCAGTACGGAACAATAAATAAAAAGGAGGAGTACATGTATATTGTATGGAAATGATATTAGGATAAAATTAGTTAAAGAATCAAAGTAAGATGAAATTGAGAGTATAGGGACCGAAATGCACAGTTAATGCAATAATCACACGGTGAGGTTCGATGCTGACGTTTGATAGGCATTATTTATTATTCTTCGCAGGTGGCGAAGAGAATTAAGGGAAAAAAAAAACAAAAAGCGGGAACTCACGTGAGACTACCACGTTTCGACATTCCATTCGCTACCTTAAATCGGGAAACCAATTACAATCCCGAAAAACATTCAAAAGATTTTCATTTAATTAAAGTGGGATTGGAAGGATTTATGTTTTCTTCTTTATCCAGGATGAAATAATTACCTTACCTTACTCCTTTGGCTCTGCAGTTTTGTTGCCTTCTCTTTGGCTGTTTTGCATAACTGTCAATGATCTACTGTGACGGCTACCATGATTAGAATGTGCTCAACTCCAATCGTGGTTACCTACTGGTCAGTGGAAAAAAAAAAAAGTATATAGTGACGTGGCTAAGAGCCACTGGCTGTGTTAAAAGGAAGATTGTAGTACGCCATTGGTTACATTAAAGTGGGAGACTTCATTACCGTCATTCTGAGATTTGAAAGAGTCGTCCTCCCAGACACACTGAGTGCGCGTTGATTGCGTTTTCTACTTCCTTTTTTTTTCAAAAAAAAAAAAAAAAGTTTAAACCAACCAGTCTCGGTCTACCCTTCTTCCCTAAGTTTTAGGTTTAGGTATTCTCGTTCTAATTTCTTCCTATACATACATACATACATATATTCTCATTTTATGATTTAAATTCAAGAATTAAAAAAAAATCATAATTTATTAACCATTAAGTCATGTATGCCATTGTTATTATTATTATTATATAAGAAATAGTTTTTAATACTATTTGTTTGCAAAAATTTCAAATAAGTTGCATGAAACCATGAAATAGCCTATCTGCATTATATATATATATATATATACTCTCTTCTCGGCTTAGAAATAGTACATCCTGGAATTGTGCGAGTGAACATTACAAAATGCCAAATCAACCTGTGTATGGAAGAAAAAGAAAGCTATATAGTCTTTCTTAAAGTAAGTCACTCATGGTGCGAGGCGTTCATGCTTTTCCTATTTTAAATCATATGATGGGAAGGATTCTCTTGGAGACACGAAGTGACCTCTAGGTAATGATAACACTCTTCAAACTTAGCTGCTAAGGAGTTGTCTTGGAGTTATCTGATGCATACTGTCTTAGTTAAACCAAAACCACGTGAAAGTGTTCCTTTGGTTGGTTCTTAATCTTAAGCTATATTCATTCGTGTCAGTGGACATGTCACTTTGACTCTTTAAGAGCAATTGTTTTATCAGAATCGGCAAATTAAAACTCATATTTTGTGATCTTTCAATTTCACATTAATTAATCCACGTCAGTTTTTTCTGTTAAACCCAAAAATGATTTGTATTTTATTTCAAAAAAAAAAAAAAAAAAGTTCCGAACTTCTTAATATGAAATTTGGTATTTTAAAGTTCTCCTTCTTCTAGTGTATTGATCTTGTCGACCACTTGGAACTTTAAACTTAACTGAGTTGATCTTTTATATTTTGTATAAGATTGCATCATTGATTAATCATTAAACAATAATGTGATAAAGACAAGCGAAACAACCTAGATCTTTGTAATAAGTTGTTCTGAGCATATTCTCGTTGAAAAACATGCATTAAATCTTATATGTCTACAAGAAACTAATCGGAGGTGATATGATCCTAGGCTTATTGACAAGAAAAGAGAAGAAGAAGGCGAACCAAACATTTATTCAATAACAGAAATCCTGATTACCAGCTTTCATATATTACAATCGCTAAAATCCTGATTACCGTTTTCATATATTACAGCAATTGAAATGAACTAATCACAACAATACTGTATGCACTACTCACAAAACAAGAAGTAAAACTAAATAGTCACACAAGATACACTATAATAGTATCTCACAAATATTCACATAATTAAGTTTTATAGGCATATATATACGTATAGAGAGAGAGAGAGAGAGAGAGAGAGAGTCAGTCTTCAGATTCTTCATGGAGGACACAAGGGATGCCTTCTAGTCCCCAATCTCTACATTAAAGCTCAACATTCGATTGAACTGGTGCACCAGTGAGGACAAATATGAAGCCCCTCCCTGTGATGCCGTGCCCTTCTTAATTTCAATAAGTTTGTCGTAAACACACCAGGGAAAACTGAGGAAATGAACTCGATCCATTCCCTCATTGTAGCGACCCCAGAAACTGGGATGATATGTGACATGGTACCAAGCTGATGCTTTTGCATAAAGATCACCAGGGCTCGCCTCGGAGTCGCTCTCGTCGAACCAGGCTCTAGCTTGCTTCCTCAAGGATCTTACAGAAAAATTAATAGCATCGAAGTCCCTTCTCTTGTCAAAAGATTTTCCCACTCTCATGATGCAACCACTGATTATTTCAGCCTCAGTTTTGATCCCGTAATATTCGAGCATGTTCCCCAACTTGCTATCATATTCACTTTTGTAAAAGAAAGCCTCGTCGATATAATCCCGAAATCCATCAACTTCCATGCCAGGATCATAAGACCGCCTTGCCACTTCCTTGCTGAAGGACCTTATGGGACTTGTGTCCGGGGCGATGTCTCTTACAGCTCGGAAAAGTTTTCCAAGTACGCGCTGGGATTCATACGTACTTTTATCTGCAGGCTTTTCCATAAAATCTGGATATTCTTTGACACGTAGTTCTTGAGGAATTTTAGCTGGGACACCAGTTTTGGGGAAGTCAACAGCGATTGAGCATAGCCGAGCAAGCTCAATACATTCTTTACTTTTTGCCATGAGAGGCTGCTTGTCTGCAAAGACGGTGTGAGCATTACAAATGATCCCTAAGCTGTCGTTGAGTAGGTAATCTGTAAAATACTCCTGAACTTCCTGTAACATTACAGTAAACTAATTAACGCAAAGGGAAAAACTCTCCACCAGTATATGAATCAGAGATACATGAATATGAGGTCTGAAAATCGATTCTCTGCTATATAACATTTCATTAATTACAAGGAATTCAAATTATCAGTAAACTTTTGATATAGTTCTTTCCTGAGAAACGATGAACTAACCAAGCAATATTTCCATAGCAGAAAACAAAAATCCCTCCCTTCAGCCAAACGAACTGTCTAATAGCACATTGTAGCTTGCACAGTAATCATTTAATATATTCTCACTAGCGGAACACACAAGTTTGTAGGTTATATGGCACCTGATTTTCCCTCTGAGTCGTATCCTGGTTTCCCAACTAGTTGGGATGTTAAGGTCTAAGTCACAATAGCATTTCAATCCAATAGTTTCTTTCCTGCTAACTAGTTACTAAAACTCTCCTGCCTCTAGAGTCCAGACAAGTCTTACTAGCAGGCAAATTGCCTTCAACAATATCGACATTTTTTTTCTTTTTTCCAGTTCATCCGAAGAATAGCTATGCTCTAATATCCTACTACAACCCTATGTTAGTTATCAGAGATTCAGAGCTAAAAAGTGCAGGGATTGGACGTTATTCTCCATGTGTCATCAAGTAAACTGCAACTGCTGGCAGAAACATTTCTAAACCAATGAGGAGGATGCCATTGCCATAGCTAGTTGCAAGTAGATAAATGCACCTCTGTTCATGAAACCATCTTTCTATACAAATAAATCTGAAATATATTGCAGCTACACATAAATTTCAATGGTTCAGATGAAATGCAAGTATATAAAAGCCAGAATTTGGAAACATATCAAGGAGGAGAAACGATTAGTGAGATTAATGTTCAGGAGACGATTCCTATGCACAAAATTAGAAATGATAAATTAAAATGATGAGAAGAACACATGAACCAAAGGATTCAAAATGATTGCTTGTTGAAGAGTAATAATGAGACGTCTCTAATAAATTCTAACTGCCAGGTGAGTGAATAGTTACCTCTATTGTAACATCATGATCTAAAAATGTAGCTTCTGCTGCAGTATAATCCATGGGTGGAAATTTCCGTGGAGGAATAAGATCAGGGTCCCAACACACGAAGTAAACATCTCCGTCTAGATCGCTGCCCGAACATTCATTTGTGTGAGGTCTGATCAAAATTCAACTAGTGTCATAAAGCAGTGTTTACGTAGAGAAACTTAATGCATAACTACGAGATTTAAGCCATGTGAAAAAGCAGTGCCTCCGACAGAATATACAAAAGTATAATAAAATGGTGATTTCATCAGCAAAGCTTGAAGATTCTTAAGAAACAATAAATAAATCTTGCAGCAAGTAGTTAAGTTTGACCAACACAAAACAGTAAACGTAGAAGGGGAAATGTGTTCATTTCAACCTAAGTTCAGATAGAATATGAAAAACTCGACATGAACAATGGGATTTCTGTAACATTTTCCAAGTACTGATGCTTCAGAATGTACAGTGCAAATAAGAATTTTTTACTTTTTTAAAGAAGAAAATAAGAAATTTTACCTCTTTCCTTTCTGGGGAAAAACGATGCAATCCACCATGTGATGCAACGCCGGCACATCCACAGCTTCTAAGACCCTCACGTCTCCTGGGTGTAGACAGGGGTTTTTTGCAACAACTATCTTTCCCTTGCAAACCTTAGTATCTAGATCTGATCCACCACCTATTAAATGATCACAGAGCTGCCTGTGTCTAGCACGAGAATACTGGACAAATGCTTGACCGTATTCCAACGTCCTGGTTTCATCCAGACATCCCATCATTGCTCTTCCTTTTGGAACAAATATCCTTGCTCTCGTACGCAAATCAAGCAACTTCGATGCACGAAATGTTTGCAGCATCATTGCAAGAAATGGCTCTGCATCTGGTTTATAACCGCACTTAAGCATTTCCTTCAGAACGTTTGTGTTCTCTCCCAGACCCATCAACTCAAGTGCCTCCTGTGCCTTCACTGGATCGGTTAAAATAGCATCTAGTTGAGCTATAGCCTCCTTTTGCTTCCTTTCAAAAACTCGATCTCTAACCCCAAGAGTAGATAAAAGATTGATCACTTCACGATTGAGAAAGCAAGCCTGATACTTGCTCCATCCCAAAATATCTAAGCTAGTGTTAGTTGATTTGTACTTGCACATACTTCTCCTCAATGACAATTTCCACGATGAAGCAGGATCAACAGCCACAACACCTTTGTACCCACCGTACCTAATCTGAAAGGCTGAAGGAGTATAACTTCTAAACCCAAATTTCTTAGCTATGCTATCTGCCAATTCTGCTGAAATTTTTCCAATACCGTCAGAGAATACATATTTGACTCCATCAGTTTTAACCTCTATATCAGGAATAGTTTCTATTTCATGCCTATCAACGTTGAAACTTTCCCTCGATGAGCTGAAAGACTGACCAAGCCTTGCAGCATATTTGGCTACATTTTTTATTGCACGAAAATCACCCATCCATTCTCTAATATCTGCTGCTGTAAGCCCAGGTCCAGAAGCAAACATCCAAAGAGAACTTTCTCGTAATTGACTTTGTGAGAAACCGAGAAACTCAAACTTCTTAGGTCCGATAACTATGCCATTTCTTTGAATTGACAGTATCCTTCGATAAATTTTGGTTTGCCTCCCCTCAATTGCAGAAAATGTTCGTGGAGAAATATTTGTAGAAAAAAGTTTATCCAGATCCTCATCAACAAAAGAAACTCGAAGAAAGTTATCAATATCATCAGGATATTTGCGTAAAACGCGATTGGAGAGATTCACCTCTGGACCACGGAAGTACACTTTAGTAGGGGCTATCTGAACCCTACGTACAAGCACCAATCCATCATCTACAGCAACAGCAGGTGGTGTAGGAAGTCTGCCAGTGCTGAGGTATTTACGGTATTGCTCCTGGAGCCACCGTGCAGGATCATAACAGCATTCCTTCAAATGATACAGCTTCTCAAGGGCATGTTGTATGTATGCAATCTTGATTCTAGATGGATCGATCAAACGAAAGAAACTTGCATCAAGTGCTAGTCCAGGAAGACAACCGTGCTGGACCAAGGAATTGACTTTAAACACAATGTCATATGGCAGTTCAAGTCCTTGAGCTGCACTCAAAATGGGAACGAGATCTGACTTGCCACAGAAAGTTGATCCCGCTTCCAGAATGAATCGACCTTCATCTTCTGCATAACAGACAAAATTTTCCCGAAAATTCGGAAGTTGGCCACTGCGTGGAAGCTCCAAGCACAAAGCAGAAGATTGACCAATGCAGAAAGACGGAGAAAAATCAACATCTCGGATCCACTGATCATCGCTAGCTTCCTTAAAATAGCTGAGGTTATGTGTGCCTTTCTTAAATATCTTGGGGCCTCCGAGCATCTACCAAATGAAAGAGGAAGAAGGTGTTACTCAACTATGACACAGATTAAACAAAATAAGCATTTTATAAACTTGATATAAATAATATATACAAGGTTTCCCTGCAGCATTTGAGACCTGTTATTTCAAGGAATGAAGGCATGAACTTTCTACGACTTACTCATTATGAAATACTAAATCTTCTACAATGCAGGACAAGGACACTGGCATATAGAATAATTCATATTTCAACAAAAAATTGTGTACTTTGAACTTTCATCAGTTATGCAGCACGAAATGGAATTTAAAACATTGCAAAATTCTAATCAGATTCACAATATCAAAATCAGGAACAGAACTCTGAAGCTTTCCAAAATTTGAAATACAAAAGAACACTTTCATGGAGGATTCATTTCATAGCCAGAGACCAACTCTACATTTACGTCAGAATTGGCTTAAATTAGCGTCCACAGTCTCTTACGTTGCTGGCAGAGTTTTTTCTTCAGTTTTTGGCGAAGTCGGGATTAGCTTAACTTTTTTCTCTTATGTCATGGAGAAGACTTACCGTTTACGAATAGTTATATTTCTAGGCCAAAAAACCGTTAATGATTCAACACAACTCGATGTATTAGAAGAACATCAGTTGGATGCATCTCATGCCTATCATAGATATTTGTGCGTAATGGTTGCTAAATACTACCTAGGAAAAATATGCAGCATTGGGAATCATGGCTCTCATAATGTTTCCCAATCTACCATTTAAAATACACAACTTAACATTTGATAACTTCCTGAGAAGAATCTAGAGAGAAATTTAAACTAATAAACCTGGACGAGAAGAAATTTCTTAGTTTGTCCACGAGGTCGATGCAGCTCAATCTGCCAAATGTTCTCATATGATAACTCGAGCTTGTAATTTGAGGAAATATACGTCAGAAAGAAGTAGAATTTCCTCAGTCCAAAACCAAATTTTACCGAAACATTTTCCTGAGTCCAAAGAACTGAGAATTTTCCCTTTGAAACCTGACATCCGAAGTGCAGTGTTATGTCGTCCATGCTGTGCTGAGTCTGAAAGGCCCTTCCCATTGGAACAATATCATAATTCGCATACCGAGCTTTCAGATAAGAATCCCCATACCATAGACGTTCATAGCCTTCGGACTTGAGCTTTATTTTTTTAGCAGCTTCACTGGTTGTGAATTGAACGATAGCCTTTGTTCTTGACCCATCACTTTTTGTTTCTGCAACATTAACAGCTACAACTGTTCCTTCACCAGAGTATTTTTCCAGAAATTCCTTTATGTCTTCTGCAGGTTCAACAGTAGGAAAACCATACAAACTAATCGTCTTTCCCATTGTCCGGTCAATTTTAACTGCAGTTTCATAGAAATATTGAATTATTAAAGCATGCTCAAACAGCACCAAAAAATTGGTTGGAACATCGTTAGATATGAATTTTTGGGATTTTTCATATACGGAAATTTTCCAAACATGCCTTGAGCTTCATTAAAAAGTTACTTTCTCATATGCTAAACTAGTGAATATGTTTGAAAATGACATGAGAGGGCTGTGTGGTATATAATATTTCTCAATTAATTAAAGAATTTCATGCATGCAACCATCAAGACTGTCATAGAAAGTGCGTCAAATTTGAGGTTATTAAACAAGTAAAGTTCCATCTAATTCACAATATGGAGATTCAGTGCACAGAGAAAAATTTTCGCATGGCTGCAGTGTCTTATATATTAATGCAACCTAGGAAAGGACCTAGAAACTATGATCATCAATATAATGGAAACACAACTTGTTATTCTCTACTAACCATTAATGATCTTCAGAATCAAGGAATCTTGATATTTAACAAACAAAGAGCATGAAACCAACAAATTACTTTCGCAATATAAGCTGCATATTACATTTACAGGAAATTCATTCACATGCCACGACACATTAAAAAAAAAAAAAAAAAAACCCCTTTCCTAAATACTTCAGGCATTTAATAAAAAGGAATCCATTGGAAGCAATAAATAGTCAGGATAGTGAAATCTTCAATTGCCATAGAAAGCAGATGATACTCATAATATAGTTGATTAGTTATCAAAAAAGAATACAGCTGATTAGACACAGCTTGATTTTCAAACACAGGTGTGATTTAATAGGAAAGTTAATTGTGATGATGGGTTGTCTGGACAGGCCAAATTCTTAGAGAAGAAGAAAATATATCAAGGTGACTATATATTAACATCATTACAAATTTACGAAGATCATTAAACAAAAAAATTAAATACGAAAAGTATACAAAACCAAAGAAAAATAACATCCTTTTTTTGTATGAATGTAACTTTTCTCCATTTACTGATTAATTTTTCATATGAATTGGGTAGAGAAAAAGAAACCAACACATGACATGAGCATTGTAATTTGTACATAACAGCAATCCTTGATTAATGTAAAACTTAAACCAATATCCCAAGAAGCAACTATATTGCTGCTGTTCACTCACTTGCTAATGAAGTCATCAAACAAAATGTTGACAAAATTCTTCAATACAAGCTTGTTGCAAAACCATCAGACAGATACAACTAGCAGATTAGAAAGAAAGAAAGAAAGAATAACATATTTATCTGGAAACGAACATACCAGCAGGATTAGGTGAGATGGTAAGTGGGGTGTACTCTGCAACAATTGGAGCTTCTTAAACACTGATTTTCCTGAACAAGATGAGAGTACTAGTCAAAAGAAGAACACATAATATTACGAGTAAACAAATAGCCGAAGCGCAGGAAAAAAATCCAGGAAATAATTACTAATGAAATCTTTTTGTCACATGTTGAAATCAAAACTACACAAGTATAGCACAGCCTTAAATGCTAGATAGAAATGTTTGTGTAACAAAGACACGAGTAATGCTTGTCAATGGAAGTTGCACAATGCAACGAGAACAGAGAGAGAGCTAAAGAAATTACAAAGTTTTGTTATACATGTAAAGAAAATGTTAAGTCTTACCAAGAGAATTGTAAAGAAAATAATAAATCAACAGCTAGCCCTCTACTAAGAAAGAAAGCAAGAGCACTTCAAGAGATATTTATAGGCATTTTCCTCACAAGAAGTGCAGAGAAAGGAAAGTGCAAGACTGTTTCGTAGACTTTAGTCAATTCCTAGTTAATAATTATTGGTCACGTAGAAAAAGAAAGTCTCAAATAAATACAGTTAATACTAGTAATATTATCAAGGAATAACTTCAAATAAGTCCCCCAATTGTGATGCTACTTTCAATGACATCCCCTAATAACCTATTCAGCAATATCATTCTATAACGATCTCACGTTTATTAACGTTGACTTATAGTTTCAGTATAAAAAATTCCTTAAGAAACAAGACTTATGATGGTTGCACTTTAAACACCAAAAACAAGCCCTAATGCTATCTTATTTACAATGTATATGTGTATAATTTCTATCTTTGAGATAATACAATTTTATAATTATTTTTTTAAAGTTACTTAATAAATTTATTATTGAACTAAATTAGATTATAAATTATTTTTTATATCCCAAATACGTACTTAACAATGCACATGATGGAGCCAGGCTTCTTAAAGGGATTGCTGAATGAAACTAATAGTGGGGTGAACAATGAAAAGTGTCGGACCCTTTTAGGGTAAAATTGCTTAAATTGGTAGTTAGTGGATTTAATTGAAATTAATGGTATAGTTGGAGAACCAATTTGAAGTTATGTGTAATACGAGCTCATGTATATTCATAATGATGTGCGAAGGTTATAAGCAAGTCATGTGGGCCCAATCAACTCCTTATCACCTAAGCACCCTTGGGAACGACACGTTGCGCTATCCCTTGAGTCAAAGTGACCTTTTTGTCATTTAAACCAATGAAATCGAAAATGTAGCAAACTCGGAGTGAGCTTGAGTTCTCTTTATAGTTTGGCAGATAACTTGCTTTCATGTGCTTCCTCTTGTCTACCTCAAAACTAACTTCATGGATGGACGAGGATAATCTATAGTTACAGCAGGCCCCACAGCGTCACCCAAAAAATAACCAGTCATATGGATGTACGGCACAGAATCTCAATTTCTTTTGACGTGGCAAACTGATTAATGGTTAACTAAGTTCTGGAAACTTCTATTGCGTTGTTGTTATTATTATTATTATTATCACTTCTCTTCGTTACTACATGTATATTTCCCTCGTGGTTAAAATTATGGAGTATAAGTCTGTCCGATAAAATTTGAGATTTAAACTAAAAAGTCTCACATTTAATCTCTACGTAGAGTGATGTTGGATTTAAAAATAGAGGCTGGTTTCCTGATAAAGAAAAATAAATAAATATATAATAAGCAATCATCAGAATTAATTAATTGTATAGACTAAGCAAACAAAATATATATATATAATTTTTTTTAATATGTTATAACATCCTATATATCACTCACATGGCAAGTGAAAGCACCATAAATCACTTGCCGCATTATAAGTATGTGTAAAAATTTTGTTGCTGTAAACTTTTTCTTAAATTATTTATTTTATGAGTAAGACTATAAAAACAAAACATTGTGTTAAATATCTTAGGAACAATTATAAATAAAACAACGATTATTTGATTTCATAATTAACTACGTGCATTTCCATGATAAGCAAAACCTTCTCCCAAGTTTCCAACATAAAGTTTGTACAGAATATTTAAAACTAATTAATTCTGAATAGAATGAGCAAAAAATGTAAAAACTCGCATGGGTAAAAACCTTTTTTAAATGCCGGGCGGCCAATAAAATGGAAAAGGCATTTGTCTTTGCCTTCTTTTGCGATTTAATGTTTTATGTCCCCCACGGACGATCTTCTATGAAAATTAGCCCAGAAAAGTAACGTAATATTCTAATATGGAAACAGAAGATGGATGGGATGGGATGGAATCATCCAATGCTTAACCAAAAAGTTTTGAATGATGGAATTAATCTTTGGAATGACCCTTGTGTCTAAGGCAACTCATAATAGTATTAGCTTTGAAAATTGGCAACTTAATTGTGTGGCAAGAATTTTGAGGCAACTTATCCAATTCGTTTGGTTTGCTTATCTATAGGGCACCTTCTCAGTGACTGCATGCATCCTATTTGAAAGTAATTGGCACTCAATTCCAAAACACTTTACATCTCCCAAGCCAAATGATTCATGCATCACTCACACTTTATTCTGTACTACTATAATAATAATCATTCAACCTAGCCGCATCAGCTCAAATTGAGAAATTAACTACATCATCGCAAAGGATTATTATAAAATAAAATAAAAATTAGAAAGACTCTATCAATGTAAAAAAGAGAATGAATTTCAATCTAAATAATTCAAAAAAATACATAAATTATTATGAAATAATGATTGTCTATATGAATGTTCATATACTTTTCATATCCCCATTACTCATAATTGTGATTCAATTCATCATTTAATATGAAAAATTAAAAGAGTCATGCAATTGATTCAATAATTTATGTACTTTTAATTATTAATAGTCTCTTTCAATTCTTTTCTCAATTTTGAAGCCTATAAATAGGCTTGATTGTTCAATAGTTTATGTACAAGTATTTTATAGAGATTGAAAGAATTATTTGAAATTGTTACCTCTTGTATTCATTTTATTCAATAGTGAATTTATTTTTTTATCATCTTCCTCTTCAATTCTTCTATTATTTCTATTTCTTTTATAATACGTTATCGGCACGATTGATCTACCAAAAGATGCAAATCATCTAGACAATTAAGAGATATGCATCTAATTTATCTTTTCCTTTAAATCTAATAATACATATACTATACGTTTGAAAAACTTGAATGATCTAATGTATCTTATTTGCAAAGTTTGAATTTTATTATTATGTTTGTTTTTATTTTCTAATATTATTGTTATATCTTGTATTATAGAATTTTTTTTATCATGTCAAACTTCACAAAGCTTGATTTTGTGATCCTTAACATTTCAAGCAAGAATTATTTATAATGGGTGCTTGATGCCGAGACACATTTAAATGCTAATGATTTGGGACAAACGATCATTAATGATAATAAAAAATCCTTGCAAAATCATGCTAAGCAATGATCTTCCTTCTTCATCATCTCTATGAAGATTTGAAAATTGAATATCTAATAGTAAAATATCCACTTGAACTATGAAAAAATTTAGAGGAAATGTACAACCACTAAAAAATAGTAGTTCTTTTAAAAGCTCATTATGATTAGATGCACTTGAGATTACAAGATTTCAAAACAATAAATTAGTATAATTCTGCAAGTATTTAGAATCAGTTTCCAACTAAAATTGCTTAGAGAAAATATTATTGATTTAGA